CACATGATACAAAGACATTTTTGAATGCTAGAAAACAAGCTGATCTATTCACCAAAAAAAAAAAAAAAATGAAACAAAATAAACCTGCTTTCTGCAGCAAATGCCTGCTTGAACAGTTAAATCAAGTTTCCACAGGTGAATGACGAGGAGAGCTGCTGGAACTAAAGCCTGATAGTGAATGTGAAATAAAAGACAAACCATTAGTAATGATTGTCTTTGAAGTTACTATTTTCAAAAGGTGAGGAATCATATGTACACCTACTGGCTAATCATTTCAGTACTTTATAGAAATAACATAGTGTATGTGCACACGTCACTCTTCACACAGCTGCCTCTGCTCGGCCACTGAATTCATTTAACAAGAATCTAGTTCTGTGCAGTGCCATTATAAATGGTGATATTCATTATTTTGGACTCCAGCATAAAAAAATCTGAAACAAAACTATAAAGTGTTGGTATGAAGATATTGTGAAAAAAAAAAAACAACAACTGTCAAGTATACAGTGGGAGGTCTAGACTGCTTTTGCAGAGCAGCAAACGCCAATAATGTCACCTTAACATCGACGTCCATTGATTTCACGACATAGAGAACCAAAAGAGAAGTGTTATTGGTCTTCCCGTGTGTGTGTGTGTGTGTGTGTGTGCGCATGTGTATGTCTGTGTGCCGACACGCGACGCAATGAGAATGCATGTTTTGTGGCTGAGTGTGTTATTGAGGGAATGCCTCATCTTTCATCAGCATGCGCGGGCTCTCTTGGTTGTCGATGCGACGTCGAGGACCCATCATGCCTATGGGAATAAACAGGCTGGATGTCACAAGCCAGTTACAGAAAAAGATAGTTATAAAACATAGAAATACACTTAACAGTACATAACTTCTGTTGTGAGAGGGTCTGTCCAATAAAACAACAACAAAGACAAAGTTTGATGAGGTCATAAAGTAGCATTGGATCATGGGAGTTGTTGTTTTCACAGCTCAAGAATCATCGTTGTTGATAAACGTTTTATGGACTCAGGCAGAAGTCAAGATCAGAGATGAGTCATTATGTTCAAGTTAATATCAGCTGATGTCATTTTATTATAGGATACAACCGCCATTAAAGTCCGCTCATGTAAACAGTTCATTATTGTCCTTCTTCACTCTAATGCACACAGAGCAACTATACTCATGACATACTAGTAGGTCTGTTGATTTTTAGAAATGTTGCATATTGTAGCTTTAAAATCTATTTGGAATATCTCCCTCAACAGTCGATCTCATTCTTCATACAACATTTATAACATTCTATACTGGCTTTACTTTATTCCCTGTATTTATCTTAACCAAGACCCGCTGTACATAAGCAGCATGCCATTTTTTTGTTTGTTTAATTCCAAGTATTTTGATATGACAATTTGAGACCACAAACATGCTAATGAGTTCTACAGAAAATCTGATTTGTTTTGTACTTTAGAAGAATTTCTACCTACTAAACAATTAGTCTTTTAGTGTTTAAACTAAATGATGTGAAATGTCTTATATATATATATATATATATATATATGTATTCAGTGTTCCTGCCTCACAGGTTAGATGAATATTTAGGAATGTTATATGAACTATCACGTGTTCCTGATTTGCTGGAAATTCAAGTATTTCCACCTTTGTTGTGCAAGAACCAACAGGGTAAGCTTCCTGAAAACGTTGAGTATCTTATTACAACACAAAGTGCTCCTGATACACCTTAAAAGGAAACAAATGTCCACTTACTGTTCTTATGTTTGAACGATTTGGATCTTCTGGGTGAGTTTGGATTCTGGGAGGAAAAAGAAATGTCTTCTGTCAGTATTTGAGGTATTTTCCTCCGTGTGTTCATAATACTTATTACTTAATGATCAGATATAACTGATTTGGATCAAATTCACACCGTAACGCAGCATACAGTCAAAACGGTCCTTTAACAGTTATAAACATCATTCATTTACTTTCCTCTAAATACTAAAGGTTTAATTCTGTTCACCGTTAGGGTGTTAGAAGAAAATAAAAAGATACCTTATCAGATTTCCTTTTCTTGGCTGTGAAATGAAAACAGAAATGTTTAGAATAAAGACATTCTAGTTTAATGTATTTAATGTCCAACGTCTGTGGATGATTAAGTTATAGATATTCAGCACACATCACCTTTCTTTTCTGCCCCGTAGGACCAGTCATTATCGTTGACGTCGTCGTTATCCTCTTGGTCACTTTCTGACTTGTTGTTAGTGTTGTTTCCAGTGACTATTCTGTAAAAAGCGAAGAATAAAGCCTGACACACACTGACTGACTCAGCATTCATCGCTGCACATAACCATGGAGTTATAAAACAAATACACTCCGACCTGAAACTCTTTTTTTAAATCGATGGAGAAGGAAAACCATTTCTTGCGGTATTTCTATCCAGGAAGAGTGATTACATACTCATGCTCATGGTAACATGTTTTCAAGAGATTTGACTTTGATACCTTCTGTTCGCTATGCGGCTGCTGTTGCGGCCCATTCCCAGACATTTCTCCAGGTGTGGGGCAAAGCGTGAAGCAGCGATGCTTCGGCTACAGTTGGGGCATACACACTCCTTGTTTTTCCACTGGTTGTACACCTGGCCGAATACATCCAGTCCTGGCTGGTCCACAATTTCTGCAAATATAAAGACAGACACATGCACTTATAATCATCTTTTCTTTTTTTATGATTCAGTGTCATTTGATTCGACAGACAGAACAACTTTATGCTCACCGAAGTCCCTCATGCTTTCTTGGTCCGTGTCATCCAGGAAGAAATAGCCCTGCTTGACGGCCCGGTGGACCTCAAAGCAAAGACCCAGGCATGCATCCTCCACCAGGTCAGACAGGATGTCCTGAGCAAGGCCCTGGAAGGGGAAGGGGAGGGGGAGGTACAGGGACACACACACACAGACACATGTCAAACCATGTGTGTTTACATCCTACAGATATAAAGTACATGTGCTGCTATTACAGTGTTGCCTGTCTCTGTTTGTGTACCTCCAGCTTGCTGTTGTCCAGGCTGGACATTGAAACCTCCTCCATTTTCATTTGCCAGAACTACCAGATGAGCCGACAGTGCTGTGTTCATGCTGTAGCGCAGCAAGCATTGGGCAAAACAGGGCTGCAGCAAGGGGGGGGGACACAGTTAGGAATGCAGTGGCTTTAGTGCTCTTTGATTAATAATGAGTGTAAATCAGCTTAAGGGTCGACATTTGACGCATTGACTTTGGTGTAAATACTTACAAACTGCACGGTGAAAGCTGCCAGGGAGACACTTCCCACCTTTATAACCTGTGAATCACAGAACTGAACTGAAGCGTTTGTTTGAGCAGGAGGCTACAAACATCTCAATAAACAACACACAAAAGCAAAAAAAAAAATAAAATAAAATGTTAGCTCCGTTTTTAAACACCACCCTTTATCAGCTGGAGCATTGAAGCGTTCAGAAAGTAAGCTGAAACCTTGGTGAAGAAAACAAAGAGCGGTGCGATGAAAGGGGGCTGCTGCTGGATTTCTGCACACCAAAAGAGGTTTGAGAGCGGCGCACAAAACCTCCACAACAACAGCAGCTACAGCTATCAGCTAACAATACGACACGTATAAAGCTTGGTTGAGTATGTAGAAACTGTGCGACGCGTTTGCGGGTGACTGAACGGTTTTTGTTGTTGGAAGAAATTACATTTAACTACAGCCGAGGCTCGTCCCCGAACCCAACACCGCTGCTGCTGCTGCTGCTGCTGCACTGCGTTTTTCACTCTCTGAATTCCTCCTTCAAACATCGATTGAGGAAAAACAAAATACCCCTGTGTCCATATATAACATCTATCACTGGTGCAAACCCGAAATCACAGCCAAGCAAACGGGCTAATTGTGTTTATTTACCTATTTCGGCAGGCATCCATCTTTACATCACAGGGATCAGACAGTAGCAATCGATCGCTGCACGAGTTTCCACCACAGAGCGCTTCCTTTACAGCCCCGACCGGGGACTCACTCTCCCTCCTCACACCTAGCCCAGCCCAGCATGTGACTGCGAGTTCACCCGAGAAACCAGGGTTAAAATCGGCCTTTTTTGGTTTGACAATATAAATGCAAACCAACGCTTATTTTATAGTCAATGAATCGAAATGTTAAAAAAAAACGTGAGAGCTGTTGATCAGTGTTTCCCGAAAAGTAAAAGTTGTATTCATGCCCAATAGATTTCAAATTCACCACCATGAAGCAGTGAAAGAAAATATATCAGACTTTAGTGGCAATTAGATGTCTTGATAATGGATAAACAGTTATCAAAATGATGTGCAGGTAATTTAAAACGAGCAATCGATTACCCCTTACAGATATAAACTATAGGCCTAATCATAAATTACTTGTTTTTTCCCCCTGATCTGACTTGTGCAGTGTTGTTTATACTTTCCTGTATCAAGCACTCCAGGATAAATCACACGTGTATATAAAATGTTTATCAATGAGGTGTTTCTCCTCTCAATCCAAACCAAAGAGTTGGCAATCCCATAAACCATTTTTTTCAAATAATCTGCCTGAGTGGTGATTAAAGTGTCTATTTTACCCTTAGACTGTGTTTCTCTGTGTACTGTGTACTCTAATGGTACAATGAAGAGTGTTTGTTGTTGATGACTTGATACATGGATTTACCTCAGACAGATTATGTTGTAAAGGCCAGATTCAAATATTTTTTTTAGCCCTGATTCCCCCATCCTATTTTATGCATTGTTAAGTATTCTTAATTAATACATTTATTAAATATATTCAGGATTGCTTTGATAAAATTGCACATAAAAAAGGGGATGAAGACCATTTAAGGACGTGTAGGTTAGAAAACACCAAGTCAAATGAACTCTGCAGTAAAAAATGATTCTGATTATGAAATAATGAAGGCCCTAAATTAAGATATACGCATAAGGAATCCTATAATCACAACAACCCTTTAAAACAAATCTCTCTCAATGAGTTTCTTATAATAGAACCCCAAACGCACAACTTTTATTCAAAGTAAAAACAGTTTTGGTCATTTTGAGAAAGATTTTATAGAAAGTGAAGAATTAAAATCCTGTGATAACAAAACAAGGCCATAGATATTTAAAACCAGGTGCTCCAGGGTTGAAAGGTCTACAGTCACATCAGTTGATATTGCCAAACGAACACCCACAAATTGGGAAACCTAAAGCTCATGTTGTCCTTGCGGCTCTGGGAAATTCCAATTTGTACTTAAAATGTTACAATTCACTTAGCAGACGCTTTCATCCAAAGCGACGTGCATCAGAGAGTAAGCACTAATCCATTCATACACCGCCACTGAAGCAGTGGGAGCAACGCAGGGTTGAGTGTCTTGCCCAAGGACACATCGGACATGTTGCTCAGCCGGGGATCAAACCCTTGACCTTCCGGTTGAGAGGCGACGTCTCTACCAACTGAGCCACTGCCGTACTTTGTGTGGAGGACTGATGGTGGCATCCCCACTGCTGTCATTAAATGTAGACTTTGAGTCAGCCATCGTAGCAATCGTCTAATGTCTTACATGCGAAAATCCCAATCTGAGGTCGATGTGTGAAAGTCGCCCATGCTGTCGGTCCTTTTAACATCAATATAAATCAAACATGTTGTCATCTCCTTCCTCCAGCTCCTCACCCTGTGGACCAAAAGATGATGTTGAAAACTCCTGAATGTAGAGGATGCAAATTAAATGTGCTAAAACAAAAAACAACAACAACGTAGCGTTCAAACCTCCAGAACGATCACTTCTTCTTCATCACTGCTGCTGCTGCTGCTGCTGCTTTCAATGTTTTCGTCTTCTGAATCCTGTGCGACAAACAATAAATATGAGCCGGAAGATAAACTCAAACCTCATGTACAGATGGATGATTAAATAATTGCAGTTACTGCAGAACAGTTACAGATAGATGGTGAATACAGTCTTATGTAATACAAAAAGTGTATATAGGATGTATGATATAATATAGATAGACATATCAGATCATATAATACACAACCTAATAAATGTACATAGGATATGTTCAGGTGTAAAAGCAGTGGTTCAAAAAGCAAAGTGAGTTATTTTTATTCTTTATGAATTATGTAATATTATCCAAATTATTATTTATGTTTACCCCCATTATGACTGTAGTCACACTGTAACCAGCCAAGTCAAATGGACTACAAACACACGAGCAGAAATTCAAATAAATGAAAGAAGCCAACATCATCATTAGTGAATGTGATGGAATAAACTGAAGGCACGACTTCATTGGTTTGTATATGCACTTACTGATGGTCTGTGGGAGGGATCTTTACGGTAAGGAACTGTTTTGACACCGTCAAGGTATTTATGTTTCTGCAAAGGAAAGAAGTTTATTTGAATCTTGGAAAACGGTCTAAGAAAAAAGACACATTATATATCTGAAACAAAAAACAACAAGGTGCTTGATTTCTTCTTGCGAGTGCTTACACTGGGGTTAACCAACAGGTAGTCTTGCTGCTCCGCTGGCGTCAATTTCTGAAGAACGTAACAGGCGAAAAAAGTTAAGAGAGCTTCCAGTTTAAAAAAAAAAAGAAAATCCTAGAGAATAAATAAACAGACGCCGAATGTTACCTTGAACCACTCCTGCAGCTCCTTTGCATATAGTCGCATATTGTCATCCACCTTCACTTTGTAGCGATCCTTCTCCTTTGTCGGGAGGTCCATCCACATTTGGCTGACCCTGCTGAAGACCTCCTTTGAACTTGATGATTTATTCTTAAGAAGTTCCATTTGCTTTTTGGTGAAAATGGCATTACCAGATCTGTGAGGCAAGAAAAACCTCCGTCAACAGTAGCCGAGGCAAAAGAGAGCTTGACGTGTCGACAGTTTAGCTTATTGTGTAGTCTTGTAAAGTTGCTGAGGTCATTAGCTCACCGAGAGGGCATCTTGGGCTCGCCTTGAAATGTCTTCACACGCCTCTTTACTGTTTGAGCCTCAGAAACCTGCAAATCAATGATATGAATTACGTTCAAAGACCAGGTCCATCCGATATAATTCTTTGACACAAGAAATCCACAAACATATCCAACATTGGACATCAACTGTTGTTTATGTGAATCACGGTGAAACAGAAACAGACAGAATTGAGAATTGGTAGCTGAAGTGAGTTCAATCATAATCTGTTACTTCTTCTAACCTTGGGTCTTTTGATGCCGTGCTTTTCAAGGATCTGCTCCTGCTTCTCTGTGTCAAATCCCTGAGAAACACAAACATCACCGTTTACACAAAGTCTGTCAGTGTCGGCTCAAATGCTGCACCTGTGGTCTTATGAACAACTGACCTTTAGATAGTCCTCCAGCTTGACTGAGAACTCCCTCCTCAACTGAAAGAAAAAGAAAAGCTTTTCATTCTGACTCAACATCACTTCACTGGAACATGACCGTTTTGTACAGCAGGTAACGAAGAGGGTTTATTTTCCCGCCCCAACAGTGTGCGCATCTGTGTTCATACCTCACTGCAGCGTTCTCTGTAATCGCCCCTCTGCTTCTCAGTCAAATCTCGCCATCGCTGAGCCCACACAGTCACGTTGTTTTTTCCAGTGTCCCCCTCAATAGATGCCGCTTGCTCTTTGCAAAACAGATTGTAGCCATTTCTAAAGACACAAACACAAACACACCAAACATTCAACCAGCTGCCGGGGAAGTTACTGTTGTCTCAAGGTGGATTAGTTAGGTCACCGGTTTCTCTCGGCAGTTTCATGATGCGTACCGCGCACAGAGGCTACGGCCCTCGAAGCGGCAGCCCCGGGTTTAACTCCCACCCTCAGTCATTTACCACGCCACGCCCCACTCTCTTATCCCTGTGTCCGACTTTATTCACCGTCCTGTCTTCTCAATAAAGGCATGAAAAGCCCATTCTATAATCTTTGGATTGTTTAAGTTGTAAATAAAAGGTGATCAAATCTGTGCAAAACCTAAGTCTTACTGCTGACGCCCAACCACAACCATCGCTGTCCTCATTAATGCACGGCCTGCTCCGACCCTACCTCAGTGGCAAGTAAGTGTGGACAACAGGAACGCGAGGAATACAAAGGAGAAATCCTGCCTGCATGTTATCCCATATGTTCTTTTGTAAAGCAGCTCGAGATTACACTTGTTATGAATTGGCGCTATACAAATTATGCTTGACTGACTGATAATCCCCCAGACTTTTGTGTTCCTCCAGAGGGCTTTCTAATATGTAATCACAAAAGAAATAAAGACAGAAATAAATATTCAGTATGTTCCTTTTGGAAATACAACACCCCTCCTTAGTGGATGAAGCAGTAAACGTAAAAAGGGGCGCACATTTTTTTGTTGTTGCACCTTTTCAGTGACAGCCCCTCTCATTGGCTGAATCTAAACGTGATAATGTTCTCAAACCTTTGATTGTTGTACAGAAGTGCATTGTATTCACGAGGAAATTAAAATGTGCTGTTTTTCTGAATTAACTTCATAAGTAACACGTGTGTGTGTGTGTGTGTGTGTGTGTGTGTGGCTTACACAGGGGGCTTGGGAGGAATACCATGTTCACCTTCAATGTGCTCTTCATCCTGTTTTTGCAAGAGAGGTCACATATTTAAAGTTAAGTTCAGATCTAAAACCAAACACTTCTATATGATATATACTGTTGTTAATCATTGAAATATTGTGTACAGGTTTTGTCCAGGGGAAACAACAGCACACAGTAAGACAAAAGGGTCTGCTTAATGAATTGTAATATTGTAGTAACCAGTACATTGTGGTAAATGACTACCACTAGCTGATGTGACCATCACATACATGTGTGTCGTCTTCCAAGACCCTCTTCCTCTTGCAGCTTCTTTTTGGCATGGGAGGTAAGTTATTTTTTTGCCTGAAAGACAGAAACTTTGGCTTGAGACTGGAGATGCACAGACAGCAGAGGTCATATAACATTTGATGTTATACACATTGCCATTAATGCACATTTACTACCTGAACTCCTGCATCTTTGTCCAGTATTCTTCAGCTGCAAGCTTGTATTTCTCCGTATACCGAGCCTGAAAAAAAATGTTGGTAATTCACCATTATTTCCAAATGACTTTTACCAACAAGTGCTTTTTTTTTTTAAGCAGCAGCATCTCCATAACTTTACCTTCTCTTGACGTGAGAGATTTTTGAACTTCTTGTTTAGGGCCCTCAATACCTTCTGGCTTTTCATCTCTGGGTGCTTCTTGTGATACTTGGCACGGTTCTCTTCATAAAAGACAGCATTTGGAGGGCTTGGTCTCTTCGGGAGATCTGGGTAGATCTGCATAAAGAATTACACCTTGAATCCAACTGTTTCAAGCTTTTCGATAGGAACCCTTCAGTCTGCAAAAACATCTAGATTACGGCTTTTATCAGGAGGGCTGGTGAAGGCGTACCTTTGAGATGCTTTTATTCTTCACAGGGTTAGAAAGGGTGTCTTCAGCTTCATCCACAATCTCTGCAAGGGTCCGCATCTTGCGCATCTAAGCAAACGCAACGAGGATATTTGACTTAACGTACAAAGAAATATTCTGACACTCTAAATTGTAGATTGATGCAGTTTTTTTTATAATCAAAGGGAATAATCCCAATTAGTTATTTTATTAATGATAATATACAACAAAACAAAGTGTTCAGCGCATAATCTTTAGTGATCACCTACGTATATTACTTTTAAAAATTGTAAACCCATCTTGGTTTTCATGCAATTCCTAACACTATCAGCCTGTTGATATATGATCATGTGCAATAATTCTTTATTCCTGGCAGTTCTGAATTGAAATGCTCTTTGTGAGTTAGGAAGTGACCCACAAATCTGGATCTATAAGCAAAATGTCTTCATCATAGGGAGCTGTGTGCAGGTTTATACTGCGTCTTAAAAGCCTCAGTTACTGGTGACTGTGAAGTGGAACTGTTCTCGTCTCCTAAAAGGTAAGAATGACACTGTGACGTACCCTCGACAAAATCTCTGTCCACTTTCCTAGGCATGCCTCGGGAGAGAAAGGGGCGAAAGCCACCTTATTCCAGTCCACAGCTTTCAGTCCTTTGGTGTATATGCTACATTTTTCGTTTTCTGGGATGCTGGTTTTCAATGCAGCACAAAGCGCCTGCAGGTCTCCTCTGGTCCACTCTGCAGTCAAAGTTACACCGACACACTTTAGTGTCTTCAGATATGCAAGTTTAATATCAGATTTCACATTTGTTAGCGGTACTTACCAGGTTCATCAACAATGCTGCTGTTTTTACTCATATTTCAAAGTAGAAAAGTTTACCGCACGTAAACCGGGCACAAACACGTGACTGCTGCTTAGCTAAACCTTTGAGCCTAAATTACCGACAGATTTTCAAAGAGCTCTTCATATTTTACCGAATGCCCTATTCAATAACAATAAAGTATTGTCCACCAGAGGAAAGAAACACACAAAGGACCTTCAGAGAGACCTTTAAAGTTTATTTATTGTGTGTTTTTTTTTTTTTTTAGCATACATCAGGAAACAAAACAAATAATCCGGAAGGCTTCGCAGCAACCAATCAGACAGATGAGCCCGCCTCTCACTCTTCTTCTGTAGGATTTCCGATAGAATGTAGACTGGAGAGTGAAATGCTGCCCTCTATAGACTGTAAGCGGAAAGGTTGGAACTGCTTCTCAAAATATAGTTTCAGAGACCAGAATGGATTAAAAAATATCAGTAAAGGAGGCCCTGATCTGATAACACGGATTTCCTAAATAGGTTTAATCTGCAATGTTCTTTCATCTTTACTTATTATAAGATAGTTCAACATGATGAACTGTTTCCAAACTCACCCTGGCAAAGACTGTCTGTATGCTTGCCTATGACGTTAAGAAAACCAGTCCCAGCCTGTTGTGAGAACATCGTCCCTTCTCCTGAAATTTAATATCAACTTACCTTGTTTTTAACAGAGCATAATTATGCCTATACCCTCATTTTCTTCTTTCCACTGTTTTTTTTGCCACTGAAGCTCCAGTTTTCCTTTGACAATAGGCCCACGAGAACAGCCTTATCCTTTTTCTTCTTCTTCAGAGTCTTCTTTTTCTTCTTCTTCCTCGACTGTATCAAATTTAACAGTCTAAAAATCAGACTGAAAAGGCTGAAGATGAATCAGATCAGAGAATAGAATCACTTGTTTATACATTATGTCTGTCCCTGAAACAGATTTTTTTTCTGCATTTTTTTACCCTGTCGGGCATTTAACCCCTTGAATGTGAATTCATAATTTAGAGTCATTTAAACAATTGCTCAGATATTTGATTGTATTGCAATTCTGACTGAATGAATAAAATAAAATAAACATAAATAGAAAATAAATGAAAAATTGTCATCAAAGCATTTTAATATCCTCTACTTTCATTAACTGTAGTATTATGATAACCACACCCAAGTCGATGGTTAATTTGGAAAGCAGTTTTTATTTTTGTAGGGAGACAACAAGGAGACAGCCAAAAAAAAAGTACATATTTGACAACAAATCAACATTTGATCTCCCTGTATTAAAGTGTTGTACTTCTGCTTTCTAGTGTTTCCAGTTTGATCTTCCTATCTCTCATTCAGTGAATGCAGCAATAAGTTAATGTTACATGTGTTATGTTATGTTACATAATTACATTTAGTGTTTCACTGAGAACGAAGGAATATCTTTGGCTTTAAACAAGATTGTACAAGATTGTACACTGATAATTATTATTTCATATTCATTTTTCTTGATTGGAATGCTTAAAAAACATTTGCACATTCATTTTTTCTGAAAACACGGCAATATCATATTCATGTTTACAGCTTCAGTAGTATGTAAGGCACAAGAGTTAGGAATGAAACAAAGTAATGCAAATCATTTACCTGACTAATTGATAGATTCCTCAAAGGAATGTTCAACCAAAATGTTGTTATAAGATATTCATTTTATCCATCTTGATATAGCCTAATAAAGATTTTTGCATTTGGCATGAGAAAATTGCTATTTGCAACAAGGGAGATGATTTGAGCCACATTGATTAATTAAAAGCTACTGTAAAGTACATCTACAATGGCATCTGGGATTCACAGTATACATCCTGCCCTGGCTCCTCCTCAAATGTCACTTTGGCATCATCAGCATCCAACTAAAGCAAAACAGACACAGAAACAGACACAAACATTAATGTTTTACACACACATTGATCATAATCTTACTGCATTTGTTTGTGACATGACGAGAGGTACCAACTTACACATTTCATTTCAAGTTCTGTGAAGAGATGCCCAGTCATACACATGCGTAGGGGAATGGTGAGGATGAGTATGAAAGGAAGTGCGAGGGATACTGGACTGGATTTAACAATCCATAATATTGCAAGGCACGCAATCTGGATGGCTGTGAACAAGTGCATCCGTCCTGTGCTCACCTGGGGCAGACATGAAGAAGTATTAGTCAGGAAGAAATAATTAGAAACATGTAGGTCAGTAATTAGTCGCTACCCATGGCATGAAACTTGTGGCTTGGATGTTTTGATCTGAGATTGCTTTGGAATCTGATATATTTGAAAAGACAGGCCAGTCCCTGATCAAAGCCCAACAGGCTGAAAATCTGCTGATTCCAGTCACCAGCCGTTCAATCCAAGCACCTCTATTTTTCATCTGTTTTGATTTTTTCTTTTTCTGAAGCCTGTTTCCCCAGATGCATTCCCTCAAGCCTTTTAAGATGGTTTACTGTTTTAGGCAAGTGTGGTTTTATCTTAAACTGAAGTGGCATCAAGCCCTAACTAATAAAACCTTAAGATATTATTTCACCTAAAAATCATCTAATTTTCCAAAAAGTACATGCAACATGAGTTTTAGTAATCAGTCTCTATGGGGCTCTTACTCTGGTGGCGTAGGGCTCATCAGGATGATATTTCTTGGGGATAAGCAGGAGCAGTATTCGATCCCACAGCTGGATGCCGTTGAGTGATGTAACTCCCATGTAGAGAAAAATCCCAAACAAGGCGGACATCGGGATCATCTTTAAAATCGGCTCCATGAGAATGGATAGACCTTGACACAAATACTCAGTCAGATAAAGGAAAGCCTTCTGTCTCTAAAGATACAGCTGTATTAAATACGGATTAAGATTTAGATGATGAGACAGCACTGACCAACCAGCAAGGCAACCACAATGCCACTGATCCGCTGCTCCATCACCTTCTCAATCACAGGTTTTGGTCCTTTGCTCATCACTGTGAGGGCGTTAGCATGAGTGACGGATCGCACAGTGGCAGCACTTAACCACGGTACCCCAAATATTGCACTCAGCCCTCCCATGCCAACTAAAACCAGCAGGTCAAAGTGGAACCCAGAGCCTTTAACCATCTTCCTCTCAGGTTTACTAACAATCAGCCTGTTAAAAAAAATCCAATAAATAAAATAGTTGGGTTAAATTGCGAAAATGTCAATTGTTATTGCCATGGCTATTAGTTTAGATTAAAAGACTTACGTGGTGATCTGAGACTCCAGGAAGATCAGAATGAAGACGAGCATGGCTGGGACACAGCATGCAAACATCAACCACACAGGGAAAGTTTGGTGTTCTCCAAAGGGGTTGATAATCCAGCCTCTTTTAGCTGGGTTGGACACCATCAGACCTTTGGGAACCACCAATTTCTGCAAAGCCATAAAAATGTTTTGCATAAAAATAAGGACAATTGCTGTGGTACCTCTTAACTGGAAGTACGCCAGGGTTCTTTAAATGGGCAGTAAAAACACAAGATAGAGTTTCTTTTCAATGTTCATATGGGCATCTGACTGTTTTCAAAATATCGTTAACCAATGGGAATGGGCCAACCTGGGTGTAGGTATCGTCTATGTTGTAATCCACAACAACCATGAGGAAAATGGAAATAGGCACACCGAAGTCACCAAGCAAACGTCTAACCTGGAAAGACCAAAAAAATAAAAATAAAATATAAAATTTCAGTGTTCAAAATGCAATCATAGAGTTTATAACATGCATTATCTGCTCTTTAATAATTGGCAGGAACAAAAAAAAAATACTCACATTTCCAGGAAGGAAAGTGCCGTTCTTGAACTGTCGCAGGAAGAAAGCGATGAAGAAGCAGCCTAACATGAGGCACATGGAGAGCAGGGCTGTGTTGGGGTAAGGCAGCTTAATAGTGTTGACAATAATGGTTGTGTTGCCAGTAGCATTGTCATAAATCACTGTCTCCTCCACCCTTGGGTGCCATGGATTTTCTATAGTTGTATTCAGATGATCGTAATTTAGTATCAGCGGATGGGCCTTGAAGGTCTAAAGAGAAGTCAGGAGAGAGCAGTTAAAGAGGTTATGATCTTGTCCCTCGCTTTATTTGGATACATGATGAGTGAGAAATTGATTAGGATGATTTTACCCTGCCTAGCTTGGCAAAGGTTTCATAGATGAAGATGAGGGATATGAGGATGGAGAAGATTTCCTGGGTGAAGCGGGAGATGAAACGCACCAGGAAGCTGCCCTCGAAGGCCACTATGATGACCACAATAATGACCAGCCACACTCCAACCCATACTCTGCCCACAATATATTCAATGCCCTGGGACTTACAGAACTGAATGAAGGAAACAGAGAATGAGTTGAACTCTGATATAAGCACCAACAAATTTAAGATAGAATACATGATGACAGAAATCAAGAAGAAGAGACTATTAAAACTCTACATTGCAACTATAAGTGGACATGATTAGTATTATAACTCACAGCAAAAAAGGCCTCCTCAAACACCAACAGAGGACCAGAGAAGCCAATGACCAGGACAGGCTGAGCAGCAATGAAGCAGAAGATAATTCCCTGAATGCTGGTGGATATGAGGAGCTCTGGAACGCCCATCATGTTGTCAACCTTATCAGCTGCAATGTAAAGGATCGTCACAAAGTGTTACAGGATCTACTGCACTCAACAGCAAAACCATGTTTCCTTCAAAGACTGCATTTATATTAATTGGACATATTCCAAGTGACATCACCCATTGGTTTGTTGACTAATGCCTTGTTTGTATCATTTTGGCCACTTCGGCCTTCCTTTAAAAACTAGAAGTGGCCATATTTGGATGAGAATTGGGAAACACATTTCTACGCCTCTTTTCTTAATGACAAGGTCACCATGATAAGGACTTTTCACTCACAAGTAGCCACACCCTGCATTTCCTGGTTTATCATATTATATAATAAATGGGACCTTTATTAAACAAAAATAACATCATGATGTATTGAGGAAGACTTAAAAGTAGGATTTGAAACCATATACTCATTAAAAATGTAAGTAAAGTGTAATGTAAAGTAAGAAATACATTGAAAAGTAATCGTTTTGTCACAGACTATTGGTGGAACGGTTTTTGCTAACAGTGGAGTTGCCACCTGCTGGACCTGAGAAGGATGTTAGAGGCACTTCTGCATTGCATTCATGCTTCAAACCTGGAGGCTTCACCCACTTCTTGTTAGCAGTTTATGGACTTGTATATAGGCTCATACCGAGCAGTCCTCCGAAGGTGACGGCAGGAGACAAGGCTGCAAAGTAGATGAAAATGATGGCAGCAAGGACCTGTGCATTGAGAGCATCTGTGATGTCACTCTTGTAATACTGGTAACGCCTCTTTATGTCTTTAATCATTCCACCAAATGGTCGCCCTGTGCGGCACAGGGGGTCTTCAGGAGGAGGCCCTGAAGAAATGGAAACTGAAAGAAACATGGCATTGTCAGTACATAGACTATATAAGAAAATAACTCTCACATATTGGTATGATTATGCATGTGCTGTATAAAATCCAAAATTTTCACCCTTGCGTTGCTTGGAGTCCAGATGGACAGACGATTTAGAGGACTGGAATCTTTCCTGAAGCAGTTTCTTCTGAAAGCTGATAATCGATGAAAGCATGGCTTCATTCTGGATCTCAGTAGGCGGGATTACGATGCTGCAGTCCATGAAGTCGACCACAGCATCCGTGAGCTCCCGGGCGCTCTTTGCCTGTAACGCTGCCTGGTTGAACACCTGGGATGGAGAGAATAAAGGAGAAGTTAAAACTTCAGCAGGTTTAGAGAACACTGACATTCAAATAATCATTCAGTTTGATGCAAAGGCCTGACAGTACACATCCCCTTTTTGAACGTTGTGAACAGTAAATCTGGCACCATCTGCAAATCTAAGCAAATTTTGAGTCAACTGTGGGTTAAATTATAAAGACTTAAAATATACTATCCTTTTTTTCCCCATAGAAGAACATTCTGGGATTCATACCTAATCATTTTAGTTTTGGATTACACTGGACAATCACTTAATCTTACATTGAAAATATGTTGTAAACATTTTATCCTATTGAAGGAAAAATGTCATAATTGAAGCGTCAAGTAAAGATGCTTCCACCATTACATCACTTACAGATTGTATTAAGTTGTGTTTTTGCTTAACTTATAATTAGAGGTTTAGAGAGACGCCACTATCTGTTCTATCTGTCTCTTTATCTGTTAGACAAACAGAAATGATCGTTCTCTGTATCTGTATTCAAATACAACACCACTAGTGGACGGGGTTAATTCCAAACAACAAGATAAACTGGGCTTGTATTTAATTCGTAATGCAATTGATGGGTCTTCAAAGTATCAAAACAAACAATTTTGGATTTAAAAAATGTTAACATCGTAGCATATGTTCTTTTCCATTACAACTGTTTCTAATTTTAAAGTTAATCTCAAAATATATTCTCCCAGGCATACGAATAGTAACTCCACACCTGTGTGGTTATTATATGTGCAGTATTTTGATTTTTTTTTGCTTTTGGTATTTGATGATTGCTACGTGGTGTGAATGACTTGATTGATTTCATTTCTGTATCTTATTCATGACTGTGGAAACAATTTCTAATCATAGAATATCTATGTTTTTAACATCAATCTAAAACACATTGAGCTTATGCTTTATAAATTAAATTGCTATTGCTATTTTCAAATAACAGGTTTTGATTTGGTATTATTTCTTCATTTTACTCACTTTGTCAGCCATTAGCGCTGCCATAGCACGGCCAGTCTCATGGTAGTCCATGTCAGACTTGCTAGGGCCGACCAGGACAAACACAAAGCGTACAGGAACTGGGGTCTCCAATGCAGAGTCAAGCACCGTTGCCTCCTTCAGACGCACAAACACAACTGTGGGCCTTTCTAGAAAGTCCAGCGCTCCTGATACAAAGAGAAATGCAACATTATAGTTAAAACCACACACTCTTACTGATGAAAATGTGAATCCAAGCACCTCTCCAGCAACACACACACACACACACACAATGAAAACACTGACATACCTACGAGCACCATAGAGGCCTCAACCCGGTCAGATTCTTCCCTCTATAGGAAACACAGGACGAGATGACTAAATTAGCTAAAATCAGATTTTCCTGTTTATATCAATATCACCATTTAAAATATAACTTTGTAAAAATGTAACTTGATTTGAGAATCTACATAAAACAAAGGAAGTCATATACGTTGAAATAATCTACTGTAATCAAACATGAATCATATGAATTTCTCTTTTTGCTCTTATTTCCCAATATAAATTACAGTTTGAGCATCACAGCAGTTTGCATATATTTAACTTTACATGACCTTTACATGTAATATGTAAATACTTGCGTTATGACCCTTCAACTTTAAGAAGATCCACCAAAGACTTACACAACCAATATGTGCAGTACTGTAAAAGTAAAAGTAATTTAAAAAAAGAAAATCCAAAACCCAAAATCCTCCGTGGCTCTACTCCTCTGAAGTATATACCAAAGTGGTTGAGCTCCAGAAGTCACTTTCACCTTTAAGATCACAGCCATAGTCTAGCCTTTGTGAAGATATCAGATCGTCTTATCATCGATGATTAGTTCATATTGATTGAATCAGTGGAAGATCTTACCCTTTCCTTGACTGAAAACTTATGCAGGTCCAGCCCGTCAGACAGAGCTTGTCTTTCTGGGTCTGATTGGCTGGAGAGAGAGTGAGAGAGAGAAAATAAGTGTGACTATAGACAAGATGTCACTATAGACAAGCTATTCATAGCAGTCATTTACCTAAATAGTTAAATAGGTAGATATTTAGGTCAGACTTTTAGTTTCATTTGAAATAATTCACAAAAATATACTACTGGAGGTTGTAATATAATTTTTTTTAATTATTTAGACACAAAATGTAATATTTTTAAAAATGTTTTTCTTCCTTTTAGCACTTTAATGAGAAGAAAATGCCAAAATCGTGTCTTTTCATCAACAATAAAGTTCCAGCAAGCAGACATGCTAGCTCAAACATAGAAGGGAAACAGTTAACCTAGCTTTGTCAAAAGGTCACAAAGAAAGTTAATAAGGTTCTCTGAAGCTCACAGATTAACACGTCATATCAGGAAAGGACTTGCTTTTTCCCATAATTCTATTTGTCATATTTGGGTAGAAATCAGTGTATGTCCTAGGCCTGTACGTTTGAGTCATTTTGGGTAACGACTTGGAGGATTACCTTCGGTTTGGAAGGAGAGAGTTAAGCAGTCCTTCACGGTCTCCAGGTCTGATTTCCTTTTTGTTTACCATCTCGTTAACCATCTTCTCAGCTATGCTGGCCAGAGTCCGCTCTTCACAGTCAAAGATCGTCACACCTTGAAAAAGAACACATTGGGAAAAAAATCAGATTTGACAACAAAGAGGGAAGGGTTATAGGTTTTATGTTTGCAACCAGTGTAATTTACTGCATGAAAACAAATAGGGAAACAGGAAACAAACTCTTTATTTCTTTTAATCTAACCCAATTTATGAAAATTATGGAAATACTCTTAATTAACTTGATGATACAATGCATAACTACGATACTATTTTAAGTAAACTTCCATCATCAGGGAATGGATTTCTTTACTATTAATATTCTTTATATTATACTAAAACAATTATGAAAAATATGACATCTAAGTCATATGCAGTATGTCATATTAGTAGTACATCTATTTGGGTAAGGTACTTTTCATGCTCCTGTTTTCATTTGTTCCCTCTCTGACCTGTGTTCAAGGTGTGTCGGAGCTGGATGAGGCTCTTGAAGGTGAGGTAGGAGATGTTAGAGGATGTCCACACTCCAGCCTGAGGGTCAAAGCTCTCCTCGTAGCCCCCCCATCGACCTGTCTCCTGCCAGTAGGCCTCCTGCTTCTGGTCCTTCATTTCCTCCCTGTTTCTCTGAGGGCACAGAGAGCAACAAGAGAGGCTTATATATATCATAAATATATGTTATAGAAATGTTCAGGTTAAAAAGTCATTTCCATCTACAAACACAGTTTTCAACCTTTTTTATAAAAGTGTGTATTCTCTTTAATGGGTCTTTAGTTTCTTTTGTGTGTCTTTTGTTTACTATGTTGTTTGTTTCTTACTATACCATTGAAGCTCATCAGTATCTATGGAAACACAAATGGGGAATTTTTCATTGTACAGTGTAATGAAAAAAAAACAGCTACATGATTTTGATGTAAAAGTAGCAATTATTTCAATTTATATTCAGCATAATCAGTAGCTGATATCCAGGTGATGAACCAAAATCTGTGTTGAAGGTTATAATAGTAATTCATTTTTGTTGGTTTTAATCTTTAATTAATTTTGAGTTTTTGTTTTCAATTTCAGTTTAGTTTTAACTAGTTTGAAATGCTGGTTTGTTAGTTTGGTTTAATTTTCATTTTCTGAAAATGCTTTTAGTTTTTGTAAGATATAGTATATTGTCAGTTTCAGTCTTTTCTTTTTCTTGTTGTATATGGTTCAGAGAAAGATATCAAGCAACATCTTTAGAGATATAAAATATTGTTTAAGTTAAGGAAAAACTTTTTTTTTCTGCAATCAGCAAGCCAATCCAAAATTGGAACAGATTTACCCGAGACAAATCTTAGGGATAGGCTGTGTGTCACTCAGTATGCTCCTGTCCAACACTAAAGACATTTTCTCTATTTTTTTTTAGTCCGTTTTGTAAACACACAATACAGTTTCAGTTAGATAAAGTTTTTGGTAATGCCTCGTTTTTTAATTTTGATTTTGATTTCACGAAAAAAGTGAGTTTTTTGTCTTTATCTTGTAAGTATCTGTTAACGATAAAAACCATGGTTTGTACCATACTGGAAATGAATAAATACATAAAACAAACTAAAATGTTTCAAAGATTTGTTCAAAAAGTCTGAAAGATTATGTGCAAAGTGTTAAACTTTTGGAAAGGTCTAACTGTTTGTGTGTGGGCACAGCACAGCGCCCCTTACTGGACATTTACAGTTCAGGCATTATTGTGGACACCTGATTTGGACCCCTTGAGGACCTTTATGTTGTATTTCTCTGCAAGTTCCTGTGTTTATTTCTTTTCAAGCTGCTTCTTATTTTCAGATGAATGTCTTTACATGTGGCTGAAGGTATTCCAAGTTAATGAGACTTGCCATGCTGGCTCAGTAATTAGTTTATAGGTAGCTAAATGTATTTGTAAGCTATTGTGATGATCTAAGTCCTCCACTTCTTTCTTTGATTTTATTGGTGATATTTATATACATTAGTGCAGATTGCGATGTGTCAGTACTGATGTTATTATGATGTGCACTTCCTTTGTGTTAATTTCTTGACTCCTCTATAGAAACCAAACCAACACTAAAAATGAAAACAAAAGGGTTTCTTTGGCTTTTTACATTTAGCTACCCTGAAGAAATCGTTGTTTTCTTACACGTCATGCTGTAACTGTTAGTCAGTATCTGGGACAAATACACTGAATTCCAGAAATTTCACTTTAAACAACCAATGCAGGAGAAAAATTAGAGAGTTAATGAACTATTTCATTAAATGACCAGCGATTAAGTTTTAGGTTACGGCATACGGAGCATTGCGGTGGAAGTAAAACACGTGCAACATTGCGAAAGTTCTTTTTAAGACCAGGTTTTTGAGGTGGTTTGTCAGTTCTGGGCTACCATAGACACATACTTATGTGACATGGCAGACGGTGTGGAAGAGTAACCTCTGTTTCTATTGATATAAAGAACTCATTCTAAGGTATGAAAAAACACACAAGATTTTTATGTGCAAGTATTGATGGTATAGTAATGAGGACATAATTTAAGACTTATTCTGCATTTTTTCTTTTCCATTGCATCAGTCATTTTATTAGAAAACTAGGTTACAACAGAGTGATGTGGTCATGTACTGATAAGAAGTTATAAGTGAGTTTAAGGAAGCCACTTCAAAGGTGGCTTACTTGAGATTTCCTATAATTTGCATCTTTATAATGTTGCAATTTCATTTTAATTGAACTTTTTTGTTGAATCTCTTATCAGGACGAACTGTTTAATGAGCACATTACAAGAGAAGGCTAATAACCCCCATGTTTCTGTACTTTACTTTGTAATTTCCCAGAAGATCTTTGAACAGACCTAAACTGAATAATTGACTTAAAAGGACCACAGGTTAAGAGAGCGATACAAATATGTTTTGCATGAGTAGTAGCTCGTGAGAGATATCTAATCATCAGATAAGATCACATTCATGCTTCACTGCATGACAAAAACACTGATGATGTTTGAGGTGTTGTTTTCTACTGAAGCGGCCAGACATTAGGCCCCTGTTGTTTCTTGTACTTGGCAGCTCTGGTGTGGACAGTGATTAAGCTACTGTGGAAACCTGGCGTCCAGGTGAGACTTTGTGTCTAAAAGGTAAACATGTTGGCCGTCCTCTGATCTGGGCCACTGCTAGTTTCCGGTGTGGACATGAGTGATGGCTCCACTATCAATACATGTCGTGTGCCTGGAGTGTGTCTGTGCCCATATGTGTGTGTGGCCCTTACCTGCACTCTGCACTCGGGTCGATGACTGTTTCAGTGTTCCAGTCAGCTGTAACAGAAATAATGAACCGTGTTACAAAGACTATATGTTGTTTCCGAAAAACAAAGAAAATAGAATTCACTTTTGAAAAGTCACAGTTTTCATGTTTGAATGTTTTTCCATCAAAATGTAAAGTTGGATGAACACTGTCTGTTTGGCTTTATTTAGCCAACCAAAAAGAATAACTCCAACTTGTGAAGAATAACTGAATATATGATCTAACTTTTTAAATAAGCATTGTATTGGAAATGTGGCCTTCAGTATTATGTAAGAGCTGTCCAGAGTGTTCATTTTTTATTTACGTAGATTAGACCTGAGAGGAAGTTTTCTGTCACAACATGATTTATTTCCAAAACACAGCTGAGGAATGGGGCAGAAGATTTGGATTAGACCGACTAGACAGCCTGTCTAGAGCCCATCCTTGTGTTTGCACAATCTTAGATGTATGATTGATAAATATACATTAAGTTAATTGCAAGTTTGCACAGACTGGTGCATGTGTTGACTCTGCAAAGTGTCAATTTTTTTAAGATAACAGAGTTGGCTGAATGGAGCCGTCTTCTCCGGTGTAGTTTTTGCAAAGGTGATAATGCATCTTACTCAATTTAGGAAAAAACATAGTGACTGGTGATTGAAATATTACACATGTATGACATTTGCAAAAAAGTTCATTTTTATTTAGTTAATTTTCTCATTAAGGTGAACCCTAACACAATGTGAACACGCAAATGTTCCTCTGCAAAATAATACAATTTTTCATTACTTTGCATATTTTTTGTGAACACAAACAATTCAGGCCTTCTACCCTGAATGCTACATTCAAAATGAGCAATACACTGACACAACTGTCTTCATAAGGTCAATTGAGCGTGACCTGCTCTTTAGCTTTGAAGATGTTTTGTCTCAGGCTTTATCCGTTTCGCTGACTGATGTTTCTCCCCATGATTTGGATTGCTCACAGCGTGCATTTTCCAATGCAGTCAGAAATCCCTCCGAGTTTTTGCACACTACTAAGTCATGAAATCTGCAGGGTTCAATTCTCTTTTTGACATATTTTTTATGTTTAGATAAAATGTTTGCAATTCTCTGTAGTTCAAGTGACTAAACCGAATTTCTGCATAAATCTTAAAATATCATCTGGCTGCAACAGCGACCGACAGCAGTAAGTGTGCAGCTTTCAAAATTATTTATTTAATATATTTTTATTCTACAAAGTTACAGCTTTGCTTGGCTTATTGTATGAAAGCCACACTAGCAGAAAAAGTGACACTTACCTCCTGACAGCAGTGACCGAGTGACTGACCCCAGAATGGCATAAAAAGCATGACTTTATAAACACCAGCCCTTTAAAGCTGCCTCTGTGGGTGTGTGTGTGTGTGTGTGTGTGTGTGTGTGTGTGTGTGTGTGTGTGTGTGTGTGTGTGTGTTGTGTGTGTGTGTGTGTGTGTGTGTGTGTGTGTGTGTGTGTGTGTGTGTGTGTGTGTGTGTGTGTGTGTGCGTGTGTGCATGCTGCCTGATAATGGGTGGGACTTGTACATGCACACTGTAATTCTCTGTGAAGCACACATCCAAAGGAGTGGTGCATTCTGGTCTCACCCATAATATTGATAGTAAATACAGTGGTGTGGTATGTAAATACAGTGGTGTGGTATGTAAGAAAAGTTACCAAAGCGGTCTAAACTAGTATATTGTGTTTCTTTAATGGTACCATCTAACTGATATTTGATCCATTATTTTTAGTGCCTGTTTATATGATGCCGTGATGTGTGTTACTGTTGTTTCGTTGGCCTGGCTCCAAACATTATACAGTATGATAAATGAGAAAATATCATGACATGCGTGAACTGCTCTGCTGCTTTTAGAGGTATACCTGCTGTCTGATTAAACAAAAATAGTTTATATATATGTATTGGTTTTGCATTACCTCTTCACCTGTCACTGCAGTTGAGAATCTAAAACACCACCTTAAAATATCAAACTTTTTTCTCTCTCTCTCTCTCATCAACTTTTCATTCACTTTTGTTTTTAGTGAGAAACACATTGAGATGTTTTATCATAGTTTAAGGTCAGATGAGTATTTGGAGCCAATGTGACATACTAGACATTTCTGAGTGGCATGATTGTTGGGAAGAGGAACATTTGCGCTTGTTGGCCAAAATAAAGATGCACCAACTTTTAAAACCTGGCAACTTCATTGAATAGAAAAAATCCCACTTCACTGCCCAAATCCCACACACTGCCCAAATCCCACACACTGCCCAAATTGGAAAAATTAAGTTCCAATAAATTGGTGATATGGAGCAGGAGTAATGTCCAGGGATTTTTTCTTTTC